CAAATAATACAAGACGCTCCAAGCAACACACATAACATGTGGTGAATAAAAATATAGCTCCAAGTAAATTACCGATCGAAGTAGACGAAAGAGGGGATGCCTTCCGGGGCATCCCCAAGATTTGACTTTTTGGTGTCCTTGGATTATCTTGGGGGTGCCATGGGCATCCCCAAGCTTAGGCTCTTGCCACTCTTTGTTCCATAATCCATCAAAAGAATTCACCCAAAACTTGAAAACTTCACAACACAAAACTCAAAAGAAATCTCGTGAGCTCCGTTAGTGAAAGAAAACAAAAGACTACTTTAAGGTACTGTAATGAACTCATTATTTATTTATATTGGTGTTAAACCTACTGTATTCCAAATTCCTTATGGTTTACAAAATAATTTATTAGCCATAGATGCATTGAAATAAGCAAACAACACACGAAAAATAGAATCTGTCAAAAACAGAACAGTCTGTAGAAATCTATAACTAACGCAAACTTCTGGAACTCTAAAAATTCTACCAAAATAGGACGTACTGGAAAATTTGTTTATTGATTAGCAGCAAAAAGAATCAATGCAAAAGTACATTTCTGTGATTTATTGGTTTTTTTCTCGTGAGTGCAAAGTTTCTGTTTTTCAGCAGAATCAAATCAACTATCATCGTAGCTTATCCTATAGGTTCTACTTGGCACAAACACTAATTAAAAGATAAAAACACATCTAAACAGAAAGTAGAAACAAAATTTAACACTAAACAGGAACAAAAACAAATAACAAAAAATAAAATTGGGTTGCCTCCCAACAAGTGCTATCGTTTAACGCCCCTAGCTAGGCATAAAAACAAGGATAGATCTAGGTTTTGCCATCTTTGGTAGGCAATTCTTCAATGAGGCATCTATCTTTCTTAGAAATTTCTTTCTTTCTAGTAATTATCAAATTCTTAGGCACAAGATCGACAAATTCGTTTATAGCAAATGGTTCCTTAATGATGGCAAAAAGATTGGGATGAACACTTATAGATTTAAGATTCAGTTTCCTTACTAGATGATTCATCCTTACTCTTAGGAACATAAGTAAGCTTAGGTTTTTTAGTAGACGAACTTGGAGTGTTTTGTACGGAAGAAAAAGCGGTCCCCAAGTTGGTAATGATACCCTCAAGTTTATCGATTCTTGTGGAATCTAGATTTATTTTCTCGTTAACTATGGGTTCTTTTTCTTTAATATTTTTCAAAGTCGTTCCTACCTTAGATCCATATTGAGTAATTTGATTGTGGATCTTTTTATCAAGATTTTCAAGTGATTCAATGGTAGCAACTTTATTCTCAATAATTTCAAGTCTTTGCATGACATGCTCCAAAGTTAATATAGTTCCATTAATCAAAGGAGGTGGTGAGCCAAATAAATCTATTAACGCATTGTAAGAATCAAAAGTATGGCTACCCAAGAAATTCCCTCCGGTAATGGTATCAAGGATATATCTAAACCAAGGATTAGCACCTACATAAAAATTACGAAGAAGAACTGAGGTAGATTGCTTCCTGGTAGATCTATTTTGAGCATTGCAAATTCTATACCAAGCGTCTTTTAGATTTTCTCCCTCCCTTTGTTTAAAATTTAAAACTTCATTCTCGGGAGATAAAGGAGAAGGTAAGAGACTAGTCATAGTGACAAGGCAAACGAGCAAACACACGGGCAACGGGAAAAGGCGAAAGGGAAAGAGAGAAGGAGATTGGGAAAGAGAGGGCGAATAAAACGACAAGGGTGAAGTGGGGGAGAGAAAAACGAGAGGCAAATAATGTAATGCAAGAGATAGGGATTGTGATGGGTACTTGGTATGGTTGACTTTTGCGCAAACTCCTCGGCAACGGCGCCAGAAATTCTTCTTGCTACCTCTTGAGCACTGCGTTGGGTTTCCCCGAAGAGGAGAGGATGATGCAGTAAAATAGCGTAAGTATTTCCCTTAGTTTTTGAGAACCAAGGTATCAATCCAGTAGGAGATCACGCACGAGTCCCTCGTACCTACACAAAACGATAGCTACTCGCAACCAACGCGATTAGGGGTTGTCAATCCCTTCACGGTCACTTACGAGGGTGAGATTTGATAGAGATGATAAATAATATTTTTGGTATTTTTGATATAGAGATGCAAAGTGAAAAGTAAAAGGCAAAGTAAAAACAAAGCAAGTAATAAAGTAATGGAGATTGATATGATGAGAATAGACCCGGGGGCCATAGGTTTCACTAGTGGCTTCTCTCAAGAGCATAAGTATTCTACGGTGGGTGAACAAATTACTGTTGAGCAATTGATAGAAAAGCGAATAATTATGATGCTATCTAGGTATGATCATGTGTATAGGCATCACGTCCGAGACAAGTAGATCGAAACGATTCTGCATCTACTACTATTAGTCCACTCCTCGACCGCTATCCAGCATGCATCTAGAGTATTAAGTTAAAAACAGAGTAACGCCTTAAGCAAGATGACATGATGTAGAGGGATAAATTCATGTAATATGATAAAAACCCCATCTTGTTATCCTCGATGGCAACAATACAATACGTGCCTTGCTACCCCTGCTGTCACTGGAAAAGGACACCGCAAGATTGAACCCAAAGCTAAACACTTCTCCCATTGCAAGAACTATCAATCTAGTTGGCCAAACCAAACGGATAATTCGAAGAGACTTGCAAAAATAACTCAATCATACATAAAAGAATTCAGAGAAGATTCACATATTTTTCATAGATAAGCTGGATCATAAACCCACAATTCATCGGTCTGAACAAACACACCGCAAAAAAAAGATTACATCAAATAGATCTCCACAAGAGAGGGGGAGAACATTGTATTGAGATCCAAAAAGAGAGAAAACGCCATCTAGCTACTAGCTATGGACCCGAAGGTCTAAAGTAAACTACCCACACTTCATCGGAGAGGCTATGGTGTTGATGTAAAAGCCCTCCGTGGTAGATGCCCTCTCTGGCGGAGCTCCGGAACAGGCCCCAAGATGGGATCTCGCGGATACAAAAAGTTGTGGCGGTGGAATTAGGTTTTTGGCTCCGTATTTGATCTGACGGGGGTACATAGGTATATATAGGAGGAAGGAGTACGTCGGTGGAGCAACAGGGGGCCCACGAGGCAGGGGGCGCGCCCCCCACCCTCGTGACCGCCTCTTTTGTTCCTTGGAGCAGGGTTCAAGTCTCCTGGATCACGTTCGGTGAGAAAATCATGTTCGGTGAGAAAATCACGTTCCCGAAGGTTTCATTCCGTTTGGACTCCGTTTGATATTCTGTTTCTTTGAAATACTGAAATAGGCAAAAAACAGCAATTCTGGGCTGGGCCTCCGGTTAATAGGTTAGTCCCAAAAATAATATAAAAGTGGAAAATAAAGCTCAATATAGTCCAAAACAGTAGATAAAGTAGTATGGAGCAATCAAAAATTATAGATACGTTGGAGACGTATCAGCGTCCCAGAGGGGGCGGTCTGACTTTATGTCGGGGTGGCGGCCCCGGATGTGATGCGACGTTCATGGTCCACGAGCGGTTGCCCTGGGCAGCGTGGGCTGCGGGCAGCTGGGTTGTACGACGTTGTTGCTCGAGGCGAGTGGTGGTATGTCGGGGCGGCGGCCCCGGAAGACGGTGCCGGATTGCGCTGGGCGCGACGGAGCGGTGGATGTCGGGGCGGCGGCCCCGAGAGAATCATTATGGCGACCAGACTCCTGCGGCAACGGTGATGGTGGGAGCAATGTCGGCAACGCGGTAATGGTTGCAGTAGTCGGCTTTTCTCCGGCGTGTCCACGGTTTTGCCTCGGTTTGCTTGTCGCTGTGGAGTCGAAGCTGCGGCGGCGGGGCCCTGTGGTGTACGATGACTGGCTGCAGGTGGCTCGTTCGGCGATCTTCTGTGCGCCAGCCGTGCCTGGTTTTGTTCTTCTGAGTTCTCCGTCAGAGTTGGAACTGCGTTGTCTGGCCGCAGGTCGACTTGTCGTCGATAGGGATGGGCTTTGCCCTGTGTTGTTTATTCTATGAGAGTGGGCTTGGCCCTTGTTGTTCCGGTTTTTGCTCGGTTTCCCGTAATTAACTGGGCAATTTTTTTCTACTTAATTAATAGATGAGACAATCTTTGCCTTCGTTTCGAAAAAAAGGCACCCAGGGAGATCAGAAGGCCAACTACCACTGCCGGTCACTACAAAGCAGTCTCGGCGGCAGTCTGCAACACTACATGCTGACGAGACTCCCGGGAGCCTGGTGCTACCCCTGCATGATTTTCATCATGCTTGCACCAAGCAGGCGAGGGACTTCTCTTCGGTCACAAGTATTACTTGCGCTATCTAAAGAAAGTGTTTTAAACCCTATAGATGATGTTTTAACACCTCTTAGGCAGGGGAACCTAGTTTTCTTATCATTCTTTTCCGCAATCTTTCATTGAGAATAAGAACTAAAATGTATGCATTTAGTTTCACCCAATAGCTACATGTCAATCGTCTGACTTTCGAATTTTGGGTTAATCGATTTTGGTTGAAGGAAGAAACAGGCGCATGGGACGAAGAAACTCGTCAGAGGGGAGGAAGAAGCTCGCTTGGCAGGCTACCCGTATCTATCTTAGGATTTAGGGTGGGGCAGTAGTGGACAGCGGTGGTGGGGGGCGATGGCCGGGGGCGGCGGAAGATCGGTGGTGGGGGTGGTTTCGGGGAGGGCGGGGTGCTGAGGCGGCGTGGGAACGCTGCCGTCCGCGGGCGGTGGTGGCCGGCGGTTCGGCCGGTGGAACGATGGGAGGAGGAAGAAGGGCCGGGGGCCGTTAGATCTCCTTCCGACGTCCAGAATGAATCCACTGGCCTGATTTGAAAAATCAGTCGACTTACCTGTAGCCACTCCCTTAGTTTGAATAACAAATCGAACTAAAAATTGGGTGAACAAAGAATATGTGGACACCGCGAATAGTACATAAGAGTTCACTTAAAGATATAAAAAAGAAGAAAGAAGCAACAGAGTATTACAAAGTTTTAAATAGCGCGCTAAGCATCTTGTAATACTCTGTTGCTTCCCTTGAACATAGCCAACGTAACCATTACAAAGTCACCAAACCTATCCACAGCTAGAAACCATGACCAGCGCCAGCTTCTCTTGAAGTAAAGCAGACCCAAGGAGGTCCAGAAACCAACCAAGTAGAACAACGTTGAACAGCCAAACATTATGATATTGTCAACTCCATCATCATTATGTCCTTCAGAAATCGACCGTGCCCTAGAGCAACTCTCCAGGAATGGCGGACCACAAAGATATGGATTGCCTTCAAAGCTGCTCTCATCAAATGTGCTGAACTGCCCCTTTGTTCCTGGTGTCGGACCGGACAGGTTGTTGTATGCCACTGAGAATACCGCAAGGGACTGTAATGCTACTAGCTCTTGTGGCATTTGTCCTGTCAAGTTGTTGTGTGACAGATCCAAGCTCTCGAGGTTACTCAAATTCGAGAAGGACTTCGGTATTGATCCATCTAGGTAATTGTTGGAGAAATTCAGTGACCGTAACCATTTCATGCTACCTAGACTTTCAGGAATGGATCCGTTCAACTCGTTTGAAGAGAAATCAAGTCCAGACATGTAGTTGAGGATTCCTCCTTTGTAGTAGTTGTGTCTTCTCTTGGTCATGAATTCCTCTTGGTCTTGTTCCCACGAATACTCAGCATAATATTGAGCAGATAATATACGATATTGAGCTAAAGTTGTTCCAGAAACTTGTCCGTTGAATATACCATAATCGAACGGAAGATTTTGATCATCTAAACCCATACTGCTCAAGCATAAAGGTAGCTGCCCCGATAGTTTATTGTGAGACAAATCTAGTAGGCGCAAATATCTCGAATTGCATATGTCATTTGGAACTGTTCCTTCAAACATATTGCCTTGTAATAATAATACTTTAAGTTGTGGAAAAAACATGCCTATCAGATTCGGAAGGAGACCACTGAATTGGTTTTCTCGTAGATCCATTGTATGTGTAGCAGTGCTATTTCCCAATGTCAACGGGACAGGAAAGGTTCCATTTAATTGATTTTCACTTATATGAACATGTGCCGCATCCGGTAAGCAATATACTGGACCAGTCAGATTGTTCCTCGATATATCTAAAAACAACAGATATTTGAGGTTGCATAATCCGAATGGAATCATTCCAACCAATGAGTTCCCTCTTAAATTCAATATGTTAAGTTCCGAGAGTGAGTCTATGCAAGTAGGGAGAGGGCCACTCAACTCGTTATTCCCAGCATCAAACACGGTAAGTTGCATACTGCCACATATATTCTGGGGAATCTCTCCACTGATTTTATTATCTTTTAGCACCAGATAACTTATGAAAGGCAATTGAATGTCTTGAGGGAGTGGACCATAGAAAATGTTTCCTGAGAGGATCAACGTAGAGATGTTGGACATGCTTCCGTCAAAGGCGGCCCCTATGTTGTCTAGTAAATTGTTGTTGGACAAGTCTAAAGATACGAGACTATGCATGAAGCCAAAGACCAGTGGAAAGACACCTTGCAAAGAAGTCCCTGACAAGTTTAGTTTCTGTAGATTTGGTAATGTGGTGTTGATTCCCATAGGTAATTTTCTCATCCCGTTGCAAGATGCATCCAACCATAGCAAATTGATGTGTACTTTAGAAGGAAGAAAAGATCCTTCAAAGGAGTTCCCTCCAAGATTTAGGTACGCTAGGTTGGCATTGTTCTCTACTAACCATGTAGGGAAATGACCACTTAGGCTGTTATTAGACATATCGATGAGTATTAGCCCATGTTGATTCAATAAGAAACTTGGTAAAATGGCGGAATTTCCGTTAAGGTTGCAGTTCCTCAGTACTAGAACCTGAAGCCGAGATGACATGTTCGTTATTGGATTCTCAGTTTGCACCTGAAAATGACCGTCGTAACTTGCAAGCTTCAAATCTGTCAATTGATTATGACTTGGCAAGGAACTCAGTAAGAGAACTCCTTGCAGATGGTTATTGGCGAGGGAAAGTTTCACAAGTGATGTGAGACTTTCAAAGATTACAGAGGGGAACTTTACTGTTAACCTGTTATTGGATAGATCCAAAATTCTTAGAGAAGTTAGATTTCGCATGCATGACGGAAGCTCTCCAACGAAATTGTTGTCACTGAGATGTAACTCTTGAATATTTCCCATAATGCAAATATCTGAAGATGAAACGAACAAATATATGATCATTTTGCTATAGTGGTAGTTGACATCATAGAAAAGGAAACATATGCACTACTGAGGGAAAGTATGGTGTTCCATGTTGAAAACAGATCATTGACCGGTATTGTCCGCACAGCGGTCATATCTAAATTTGTTAGATATGTAAATTATAAGTGTTCACCTGTTGATAATGTGTCGTGGATAAAATTGCTGCTTAGATCAAGGGTATTCAGCTTCATTGCGCTCAGTTCTGTACAAGATAACAAGAAGGTAAACCATAGGAAAGGATTTTCGAGATGAGGTTGGCACAAAAAGAACAAAGGAAAGGGTCACAGTAATCCTCATGATAGGATAATTCAAAAGCTTACTTCGTAGTATTTGATTGGAGTGATCGTAGCCGAAGCCGTTTCCACTGAGGAATACAGAACGTAGTGATGAAACTGCAACTAAGGACAGGATGCTGCTGTCATTTAATTGATTGTCCGATAAATCTAGTATCTTTAAGTTGCGCAATTTTGACCATTCATCGAAGCCTGTAAGACATCGTTTTAAAAAAAACATGACAGAAAAATAATACATCTTCCAATCCATATTAATTGTCACCGTTTGTAGTAAATCGGCGACAATTAATATGGATCGGGGGGAGTGACATAATTCCACAACTTCTAAAAATACAATAAAGTAAAATTCATTTTAAGTTAAGTGAGAAGATCTTAAGTAGAGTTGTAAATCCATCTTCAATGCTGAACTTGAACTACAAAGCTTGATTCAATTTAGCTCGAGAACTATAAAACCATTCATATAACTAATTTCGGTGTGTTACTTACACTAATAGAAAAACGATTTTTAGTACCAGTTCGTAAGGACCATTAGTACCGGTTCTGAAACCGGCACTAAAGGGTGAGGACTAAAGGTCTCCCCCCCCCTAGTCCCGGTTTAACACGAACCGGGACCAAAGGCCCACCACGTGGCACGAGGCGCGCCGTGGTCTGGGGACCTTTAAAGGATTTCTTTTTTTGATTTTTTTTGGAATAGAGCAAAAACAGCCCGCCTACTGGGCCGGCACGGCCTGCATACGGCTAGAAACCCAACCTCTAGTTGGGCCAGGATGCAGGCCCGTACGGCCTAGTAGGCCCCACAGGGTAGAAGACTTGCAATAGACCCACAAAGGCCTGCTTAGAGAGGAGCTCGACACGGTAGCCGCGGCGGGGCTTATAAACCGGTGCGAGCTCCTCTCAACTAGCGAGGTGGGACTAAACATTGTGCACTGCGGGTGACAGCGCACCACCTTTAGTACCGGTTGGTGGCTCCAACCGGTACTAAAGGGGGGGGGGGGTCTTTAGTACCGGTTGGAGTCGCCAACCGGTACTATAGGTCACAAATGAATCGGGACTAATGCATAGCCGTTCGAACTGGAACTAATGATACCATAGTAACGGTTCATTTACAAACCGGGACTAATGTGTCTCACGTAAAGTAGTTTTTCTACTAGTGTTACGGTCTAATGAGTAGTAGATGCCTGTACGTAAATTTCTTTTGTTCTCGCCCTCATGCTGGCATTGCCGCTGCCCGCTGCATATTTACCCCTTTATATTGGTGAGAAGTAGCCCTTGGTTCGATGGTTGGCATTGGGGGTGGCCAGGGCATTTTCCCCAGTTTTGGGGTTCAACACACGTCTACGGGCCATAGGGAGGACGACGTAGCTGCCGTTCATGGAGCTGGATGGTTTCGGAAGTTTCTCAAGACATGCTGCGTGTATGGGTTCTAGGTTTGTTAGGCGCATAACGGGGTGTGAGTTGTGGCGTGCGTGTGCGTGTGTGTGTGTGTGTGGGTGTGTGGGTGTGTGGTGCGCGTCTAATCAGGTTCCACAGTTTATATCCATATAATTGAGGCTAAAAAATTAAATCCTTCATATTGGTGTGAACAAAGACCCCCATCTTTCTAAACCAACTTCATTTCGTGTTTCCATGATACCCAGTTTCATGAAGACAAGACTTCTAACCAAAAATTACTCTATTAATTCATGTATTAAGGTTCATCTATATGTATAATTACACATACATCGAGAGCTGTTTTTTGACTCCTAAAATCAAGGAAGAAAGTATTACGTATACATTTTTTTGATTTAAAAACACCTTTTGTTTTCCTTCTAAAAATGCTTTGGTGTAGCCCAGGCTCTGTTTCCACTTTTCGTTGTTATTCCATTCTCTCTCTCCAGTCTCCACAGCTGGAGTTTGTTTTGGGGATTTTGTTGTGTTTGTCTTTATGGTTTTTGTTTGAACCCCTCTATAATAATATAGGACCTCGATAATAATATATCTGGTTCGCATAGACTGTGAAAAGTTAGAGTTATGCAATGGGAGAATACCTGTACCAGGTACACATCCTTCAATCCCAAGGTTACTCAGGGACAGATTCCGCAGCTCTTGCAGAGGAAGGAACATGGTCGCGTTAAGTAAACCTGAATAAATACGAGATTCAGGTTTACTTATGTCGAGCGCCGTGACACGACCCGTGCGGGAATTGCAGGTCACCCCCTCCCACCGGCAGCAATCATCTGTGCTACTCCAGTCCGAATATACCCAATTGAAATATTCGAGCTCGCTGTGGATGTCCAGAAGCGCCGTCCTCTCGTCATGCCTACACCCCTCGCACCGCGGCAGGAACGGTGCACCGGACATGGTCACCAGGCATAGCACGGCCGCTGCCATCCACGGCGTGCAGTGGCGCGACATGGCTACGCGCTCCCTGCAGCTCTTTGCTGTATCGTACGCACTTGCTAATTTGCTGCTCAGGTGCAGCGATTTCTGTGGGTGGATGGGCGGGCGAAGCACGGCTAGCCACCCAGCATCTCGATCTCTCTATATAGATCGAGTGGAGTATGAATCTCTGGTACGCGGTGACCGACGACTTGCCAGAATTAAGCTTGATAGTGCAGGCTAACCACTGAGATAGCGATGCAGCAGTCAACATTGCACCGGCCGTTTGGGCTGGTCTGCCTCAGGCTTCGCTTCTACATCCACAGACCCCCACCTTTAGTCGGGATGGTTTCCTGCTCAATCCCAATGTGACCAAGTCCAACTCGTCTCACCCACACGCTTGACGCCGCCGTCCCCGCGGCTGCCGTTGTGTCCACGAAGGCCTGCTGGTGTCCGGCAACGATGGCCCTCATCTTGCCGTCTCCCCTGCTGAATCGGTCCATTCTTCCCCGTCGAAGCATCAATGCCACGTACACAGCCGCAGGTTACAACCTGATCACGTAGTGCTTTTACAAGGAAAAATAAGTGAGGGTGCTCTTCTTCCATTCCAGTAACCAGACAAACAGAAGAGGTACTGTCAGATAACAACTCAGAGGTCATTTTAACTCTGGAAAATCTGTATATATGGTCGTTTATTTTGGCTCAAGAAAGGTGATACGTAACGATTTAACTTATATGTTACTGACAGAAAAAAAATACAATCCTCAAATACGGAACATCAGAAAATCATTCAATGGAAATTTGGTCGCCGTTTACCTCCGAGGTGTTTATCACTATCATGCCGAACCACTAGCTTCGGGTGGAATCTGCTTTAGATCTCCACAAGGTGAGCACACCTAACGAAATTATGCTCCACATACCCAAATATTCGGACGATCTGCTTAGGGAACTTATGTTAGAATAAATCCGAGGTCACTGTCGATCATCCGAGAACCAAGCAATCATCACACGAGCACGACACCGAGATTTGTTAACGAGGTTCACCGATATGGCTACATCCCCGAGGTTCACAATACCGCACACCGGCCACCCGGGCGCCGGCACACGCCGCCGGCTCCCCCTTGCGCGCCTGTGCTATTATGTTGGCATAGGTTACATCGTGTGTCTACCCCCGCTATATAAGAGAGGCCTAGGATACAAGTGTCCTACTTGGACATGACTCCATATTCTGTAAACACAATACAACTACAAGTCCAACTGTAACCTACCTTGTACACAATATTCAACACAACTCTAACAAACTCCACCTTGGTGAATATTCTCCACCACCTTGAATTCGTCAATGCATCAAACTTTCATGTACATTGGACTTGAGCTTATTTCATGAGTACCGCTACTACTCCAAAGACTTCACTTGACTCCACCTGCAACTTGTAGTTCCTTCTTTTCTTGACCACGGTCAACACTTGAGCAAAATGAAGTTCCTTGTTACTCTAGTTCGTGCTCCCAACTTCCAGAGTATCAGTCCAACGCCATCACACCGATCCCTGACCTGCGTGAAAGTGAACAACTCACATATTGGGTGTCACACATAAGAGTTACCTGAACTCAACATCACCGCTCCTTTCTTGACCGCCTGTCTGAAACTTGAAGGAATTTCACCATTGCTTGTAGTCATCTCGAGTCAAATTCGTAGTTGTCTCACCACATGTATGACCGCCAGAGCCCTGGCCCGTCTCCATGCCCCGTGCATACCGCACGCCTCGCCGCTATTACCGCGTTGAGCCTCCGCTATCCTGGTCGAGTCTCAAGGGTCACAAAACCACACCACTCAACCCCCACTGCAGAGTACCACCGATCATCACCGACCGATGACGAGTTTCACGCTTCCATCAGACCACTGGGCTCCAGTCTGAACTGCATGTCACTCGCTTTTCCCATCCTTGCTGAATAGGCTTCTATTCCCTGGATCCTTACACCGTAGCCCCTCAATTCAGCTCCACCTTCAACATGACTCCATGGTAGATGATCAGTCCACCCTCGCGCCCCGTCGACTTCAAGCTCCGTGTGTGCATCACCTTGAATCAATCATGCGCCATAGTCTTGTCGAAGCCACACAAGCCTCGGGCCTGCGCCACATGTTTTCACGCCCAGAAGTTGGTCACCATCAGCATCACGCTCCTATGTCGTCGTCGCTGATCCCACCACCGTCTTCTGTACCAACCGACTCGCGTAGATCCGTCAGACTATCTTGTCCGACCCAGCCGAAATTCTTCGACTGCACGACACACTCTAGACTCACCAAGCCGTCATCGTGACCATCGCCATCCATACACAAATGTGCATACCAACGAAGAAAACCAAAGCAAAGTCCAGATAGCCTTCCTGTGTGAACATACTAAATCAGATCAACAAAGATAGTTAGCTAAAACTCCTGATTCATCACACGTTGTAGCCGGCCTTTCTTTTTCTTTTCTTTCTCGGTGACAACTTCACGATCTGACTAAGCCCATGTGTCGTTTTTTTTTCAAACAAATCACGTGTTAGCTTCTGGCTTCCTTCGGTCTGTAACGCTCCAACGCTTCAACGCGTGGCACCAGCTAGCCCCACCTGGACCAAACCGTGTCGTGTGTGCGCTTGGGCGCACCGACCGTCCTCCTAGCTACAGCCCTGCACTTGGGCTTCAGATGCGCTCCACCTAGCTGGACCGATGCCCTGCACGACTGCCTCACGAGTAGACCACGTGGTGCACACCTTTCTAGCCTGTTCCGAGCCGCTCCTGCTGCAACTGTGCCACGACTCACCGAGATCAAACCGATCTGGTAAGCGCCGCCGCCTGCCGGACGCATCTCGCCAGAAAACAAATCCTGCTAGACGCAACGATGTACTCCTGATCGCTTCTTTCCAATCTCGTCGAGAACCACGCCGCAACCAGCTGCATCTCAAACTCGATTACTTCCTCCAGCTCATGATACCACTTGTTAGAATAAATCCGAGGCCATCGTCGATCATCTGAGGACCAAGCAATCATCACACGAGCACGACACCGAGATTTGTTAACGAGGTTCACCGATATGGCTACATCCCCGGGGCTTGACTACGGGCGCTTCTCCCCGTGACGCCGTCACAATACCGCACACCGGCCACCCGGGCGTCGGCACACGCCGCCGGCTCCCCCTTGCGCGCCTGTGCTATTATGTTGGCATAGGTTACATCGTGTGTCTACCCCCGCTATATAAGAGAGGCCTAGGATACAAGTGTCCTACTTGGACACGACTCCATATCCTATAAACACAATATAACTACAAGTCCAACTGTAACCTACCTTGTACACAATATTCGACACAACTCTAACAACTTATAGAGAGCTGCTATACATACGATCAAATTCTGTAGGATATGTGTACGACAAGACTCATCTGGTGTGGTGGGCCAAGACCTCAGAAAACAGACATGTCTCTTGTCGTACAAATCGTATGCCAGTTGATCGTACGTGAGGCAGTTTCGGAACTTATATTGCTCAGGAACGACAAGATCCTACCAGGGTCTTTTCGAATTCCATCACCACCACATTTTTTAAACACCGTATAGATGCAAGCGCTTATACATACGCGCATATACTCACCCCTATGAACGCACACACGCACATTCTATCCCTATGAGCACCTCCGAGAGACTGGGTCGGCATATCATCTTGAGATTTACGAAGTCACCGTAGGTGCCTCGTCGTTGACGGGAACGTCTCCTCCCACTGAAAGCGCATTGCCGAAAATCCTAAAATAAACCCACTGTTGACATCAACTCCACTAGAAGGGTTGAGCGTGATTTGCTGCGCCGTTGGTTTTGTTGGGTTTCTTAAAAATATTACTCATTCTGTTTCAAAATATAAAATGTATTACATTTTTAGAAAGTCAAACATTTTTAAGTTTGATTAAATTTGGTAAGAAATATATCAAAATTCATAATACCAAATTGGTATAATTAGATTCATCATGAAATGAATTTTCATCTTTTTGTTTAATATTGTGGATGTTGACATTTTTGGCTTTGAACTTGGTCAAAGATAAAGGAATTTGACTTTCCAAAAAATAATAGTGTGTTTTATTTCGATAAATCACGAGTGGACATGGTACCACGCGAGGATGTAATCATGTCCGTCAGCCACCACGTGATTCGTGCGGTTTTAATACACACAACGCGTATACTAACTTCTCTTCACCGTATCCACGCAGTATAGTTTTCTTATTATTGCTCTGGACGCATTGAGTTTCTGTCAGTCTTAATGGCTACATGCGGCATTGAGCGGGTCAGAACGCATTTAGGCGAGAGGAGGAGATGGGTAGGAGTGACAGTTGCAGCAACACAGTCAATGCATTAACCTTGCGTTGTTCGACGAACTGGATGCTCATACTTCGTTCTACTCATCTGCATGGTGCTCATCCACCTGCATTTACGTTTTCCATTGATTCCACCATAATGATGTTAATTATGGCTCATTATCAAGCCCACCCGTTCAAATGTATCACGTTCCAGTTAATTAGCTAGAGTAATAATATTTGCATCCTTATCAAGTACCTTCAGTTATAATAATGAAGACCACCAGTTGCTTCCAAATGCAATAGTTGAGCTTTTCAACGTTGCACTTGCTTGCCTTGGTCACAAACAGTAACCATTTGAATATTATATAAATTTCCATCTTTCCATACAATCGGTACCAAAGAAATGACATGTTTTAACTGTCCCAGCATAAGACTAGTCACAATGGGTAGTAACTTAGACTAGTGACATGCATATGTTACTAGTTTATGTTACTACCTCCATAGTGGGTAGTAACATATGTGTTGTGTCATGCATCACTTCATTTATTACGTTGTAGACTCATCTTTTCTTGATATGTGTGATGTTACAGTAACTAGCTAAGTTACCACATGCCTCTTTTTTTTCATTAATTACATGCCACATCATCTATTTTGACTAGATAAGTGTGATGTTACCACCTATGTTACTCCCACCGTGGATAGTCTAATAGCCATAAA